GGCGGAAGGCGAACCAGTCGGCGAGAATTACCTAGCGTCGGAGATGGCGGGCGGCACAACTGCAGCTTGAAATCCTCCGAACAACACCCCAGCTGTGAAAAACGATGTAAAAGTAGCATGGTCATGTATAGAGTAGTAGGAAGGGAGTTTGAAAGCGAAGTGAGGGTGAGAAAGAGAAGGAAGGAAGATAGTAAAGCATAGCTGGGGAAGAGAAGGGTGAGGATGGGAAAGACGAGAGGGAAAAGACGAGGTGATAGGGTTATGCAGCGAAACCGTAGCCGTGGCCCTGTGAGGAGAGCGTCTGACTGGGCGACGGTAAGTAGGTCCTACCGCCGTACACCTACCAGAGTGCGCTACCAGCCGCACTCCCCCGAATGATAGTTAGCTTGTTTAGATACCCCGGTGTTCCATTCGACACCGTTCGTTTTCTGAATCCCCTGCATGGGTGAGCAGTCAAGTAGTGCGTGCTTCTTCTCGTTGAGTCCTGTTATCAGGCTTAGGTGGCACGCTGCGGTGCCACCCTTAGTGGGACGCAGCCCGGGCTTCACGAAGTATACTTACAAAAGTACGGGAGAAGGTTTCGTTTGTTCTCCATTGTGATTGTCACCGCTTATGGGCGAAGAAGTTCTACGAAACTCGGCACAGTCCGACCGTGATTTTCAGAGAGTCAGAAGGCAAGTTAACCATCAAATTTTAACAATCGCGTCCTTTAAGGTTTCACAACTCGCCTAGTGAGCAGGTCACTCGTGTTTGTGATATCTACGACCCGAGCCGGTCTGGGTGCATGTGACGCCTGTTGCTTCACTACACTGATGATGGCCGTAGTCTGCACGGTTGTTCACCTGAGCTTTGCATGTGCTCGGGTGATCCTGTCACCTTGTCGGGCTTTACCCGCAAGGTCCTTGTCGGCTGCTTTTTCGTTTCCAGCGACTCTACTCACTAAGCCGGATGGAGGCCCCATTGTCCGGGTAAGACATTAAGCCGGCTTGCAGTGGTGCTGGTTTACCAGGTTACGATGGGTTCGTGTGCAGTGGCCCTAGATTCTGCACCAAACGGTAGTCCCGCTGTCCCTAAAGGGCGGACTAACTCTGAGTGGCTCGTGGTGGCCAAGGGACAGGCCATGACTGGAAAGAGCTCTACGCCGAGCGATAGCCCATCCCTGACGTATCCTGACAATGTCGCCGGCTTCTAATCGTGCGACATTGTAAGGGTACGTCAGTGTGCCGTGAAGTTACCGCGCCGAAGTGTAGCCCCTTGGTTGGGTGTCTTTGGCTTGTACGTCGGGAAGCAGGCCGCGTCTGTTCAGCGCCTGGCGCCGAGCGGTGGCCCTCTTGTCAGGGTAATGGCCGTTAGCTCGAAACAAATCTTCCCTCCCACCAACCCTATGAGGGAGGTAGTGCCGAGACAGACGCACGGATGATGCTGAGTTGATGATTACGTGACACTCTGGGACAATGTGCCTCCGGGCGCCACGTCTTCTTCCTATCTGACAACGGCACCGGTTGAAAGGGCAAAGCGTCCCCCGACCCCGCCCGGTTGTTTACGGTATGCGTGAACGCCTGATAGAATCCGCCAGCCATTACACGCTCTGCTGGACCACCAGTTTCGGAATAGTGCAGAAGAGAGTGGGAAATGGAAAATGGGAGGAGGATGCATTGTGCGAGGAAAATGCGGTGCGACTTGGAGGTTGCAGGCATGCTCAGAAAAGCCACCAACTCTGCTCTTTCCTGTCTACGCATCAGTGCTCAATATATATACACGCCGAATTTTTTACTTTTACAGATGGTATGATCCGGAAACTTTCTTTTATACACCGAAGACATACGAGATATAAGGGTTTTGGCGAAGCAAACGCTATATGTGACCAGTCGTACACAAAAATGAGGATGGGCTATGCTCCGAAAATGAATAAGTTCTTTATCCAGTCAGAATAATAATAGAGGCATTTTGCAGATGCCATCGAAGTTGTGGTCATCTGGAGTTGTGTTTAATTTTATTTTTTTCACGAAACTAAATTAGCAGCAACCATGCACTTTCTCTTTTTTTTCATCAGCTCCTTTCTGGTGGGGGGGGGGGGGGGCAATCTTTCCTTCTGGGTATGTGCCATGTCAGAAATAGTTTTCAACGACACTCGCAAGCAGTTTGTATCTCTCTGTTCCAGCTATTCTGAAACTATATCATCTCGTTAAGCGCTCAAAATTGATGCATTTCTTGTCATCGCAGGTTTCGAGAAGCAGGCCTCGCCACGCTGCGCCGAACAGCATGCGGGACTGAACGGCTCTGGCCTGATCAACACACATCGCTACAGCGGCTTCACCAAGACCGGCCTCACACCCTTTCTTCCGCCTCACTCACCGTGAACGCTGGCTAGGGACTCGCTTCAAGGCCGGCTTTTGCTGGATACGGACGCTCGCATCCTCTTCCAGGATAGAGGAGCACGCCATCGAACGCACACGCTCATGTTCGACGCGACTCTGCAGTCGATGTGATTGCTAGCGTACATACGACCAGACCGTATATAATTTATGGCGACGAAATTCGATATTGTTTCGATTGTTATCATCTATATATTCTCAGTGTCAACGCGCCATAATATCGTTTAATTTTTGCGTATGCCTAGTTTCACGTATACTTTCCATCGAGCTTTCGTAAATTACTTATGTTTCGATTCGTATAACCAGTATGTTCGCGTTGTTGCGAATATACTGCATGTTAGCAGTATATTCGCTCAGCAGGGCTCTATATGGAAACCCGGCAGAGCCCTGCAAGTTTCTTGAAAACGTACGGGTTTACAGCGAAACAACCTGCTTTGCAAGCTCTTCGCGCTGCCTCATATTCACGATATCTTGAAGTACTTCTAACGCCATAATTTGGATGTATACGAAAGCTTGGCGATTCTGGCCAGGGTGTTGTACCCCTGCGTAGATGAGTGGTGGTCAACTCTACATGTACTTGGTAGCCTGTTGAGGTTTGCCAGCACCTGAGTGTGTCAGCTGTCATTGCCTATAGTCTTGATTTGAAGGAATGCCTTATAGAATGGCTTGCTGGCTGCTCTGCTGAGCGGCAAGTACCACTCACATTTACTCTTGGACACTTGAATGGGCTTCGAAGTGCACTTCTTCTTGGCTGTCTGCTTTGTATAGTTAGGTTCAGTTCTGTTCCAGCGTTAAGCACTGAATGCTGGTTCACGCTATGTGCCACTTTTGGTCCCTCATCCAACCTCTGCTGTCTATCTTGAACAGACTTTTCCGTGGATGGGGTTTTATTAAGTGGGGTTTTATGCCCCAAAACCACATAGAAATCTTCGACCACGCATGTATAAAAGTATTGTTTCACCGACAATAGCTGAGCGTGCTCACTCATTTCACTTCTTCGAGTGTTACCTGCATGATTTTACTGAGTGTTCCTTTTTCTGAGCACCCAAATAAATAACTCAATTGTTGCATACTTTACGCCTTGCTTCTGCACCATTACCACCATATATAGTCTAGAAAATGTAACATTGCAGCTGCATAAGATTGAGGTAATTCCAGCGTGGGACGCAGAAACTCGGGCGGGTATGCGCCACTAAAGGAAGGCCAAGCAGCTACTAGCACAGCATAGCAATGCATAACGGCTATAGTATATCAATGCATAACGACTATAGTATATGAGTTCCTATGGCACAGCCGTCTCGTCAGGTTAACGACCACTGTAGTTATGGGCAATCCACTGAAGTTAAAGTAGCAGAGCCCAGGGCTTTCAGACAAAACTCATCTTCGGTGTGTTTTCAAAACGTTGTCGTGAGGACGTTTTAAGCCCACATAAATAGTACTTAGAAGAACCAGCAAACTAGTAACAGACTGATATGCAGCACATAGCTTTCAGATTACAGCAACATTCTTATAAACTCTCGATTTCGAAGCTGCATCGAGAACTTGTCTAAATAAATTTGTTCAAGCCAAGCATATATGCAGTGTCGAGTTGCTATGGGGTGCCACACAGGCACCATCAATGAAATATTAAAATTAAATGAAATATAAAAAAAATGCATGCATGAATAAAATATCCATGCATGCATTTTTTTTATATTTATTGTTTGGTGTAGAGGCTGTGTTTCGTAAAGCTTGTATTTCACAAATAATAAAAAAAAAGCATGATTGCATAATTTTTATCAAAAATTTGGGAGTTGGCCAGCATTGTTTAATGAACGATTGAAAAACAGCAGACCTCTGCATGTGTAAATAATATTATAATAATAATAGTAACAATATTATATGGGGTTTAGCATCCCGAAACCACCGCATGGTAATGAGTGACGCCATAGTGGAGGGCTCCGGATTTCGACCATGTGGGGTTGTTTAACGTGCACTCAAATCTGAGCACACCAGTCTACAGCATTTTCGCCTCCATTGAAAATGCAGCCGCCGCAGCCAGGATTCAACCCTGCGACCTTCGAATCGGCAGTTGAATGTGTCAATAATTCTTGGCCATGTGTCCTGGTGTTTTGAGTAATTGACACAAATAATAATTATGCCATACAAAAAACTACGGCATGAATCAGTGCAGCTATGTTGGATGCAAAAAAGCATTTGATAAAAAGCAAAGAGTCTGCTTTTCTTGTCTTAAACTTTGCTTGGTTTTATAGCACATCATGACTAAGTGAGATAAATAGGAGATAATAATAGAGATTCTGATGAGTATTTCCTACTTATCTTTCTGTGTGGTTTTATTCCATAAGCCTATGAAAATGACTACAGCTGTGTGGGGACTACAGAAAATCAAACAGCAAATTACAGAATGCCATGTTTTTGCAGACACCATCTAAGGCTCACACCAGCATCACATTCTATGCAGCTTACACAAGCTTTTCTTGAATTCATATTTTCGGCTTGAGTCGACAATGTGATCATTATACAGGCATTAATTTTCATAGGCTGAGTACAATTCCTAATAAAATACCAATGAAAGCTCATGCCAAATGGTAGAGATGAAATTACAATAAAATCAAATATCTCAAATTTTAGAAAATACTGCCTCTAAACATTCTGGAGTGATCTTTATTCAGATTCAGACATGTACATTAGAAGTTCATATAATAATTAGGTTGCACTGTGTTCATTAAAATAGGGTACAATTAACTGGCTGACATTTTAACATAATAATATTTATTAATAATGAGATGGTTTGGATGAAATTAAGCAGAAGGCACGTGGTACAATTCAAGATGAAGTATTAGGGTGAATTGAACACAGTGTATACTATCATATGCAGTTTATCCCATGTAGCTTATTCCCAACAAAGCAAAAACAAACCTTAGCATTATGTATACTGTACTATTAGAGTATTTTCACATTATGCGTTTAACTCTGTCTATTGTATAGCAACAACTAAATGTCAAATGCTATGTGAAAATGTGTTGTAAGACGAACGAAATATAGCCAATTACAAACTATACAATCTTGCATTCCTCCACAGATATTGCAGCATGTAGCTTATTAGCAAATTGAAGTTGGCATATGGTAAAACAAAGATGTGTGGGCAACTACAGATGAAAGCCATAGCTGAAAGACCAATAAGCAAACCACGGTATCTTCTTTTTTCCTGTTTGGCCAGACATCTTTGGGTAAGACATAATTTAATAAAGTTCTGACCAATTATATACATTAACAAATACCAATATACAAATCATAAAAAACTAGCATGTTCCATGTTTTAGTAGAGCAAGCTTGCATTTAAGAAAAAAAATGCAGGTACATGCAATAGGCTAGTAGGTTTTAACTGCACCACCACAGGTTAGATTTTCTGCATACAGTGAAAGAGGCTAAACAAGTCTTTATGACTTCTTTTGCACAACAAAATGCGCAATAAATGCATGTATCACTTGTGACCTGACAACCACGTCACTCTATTCAGTATGACTTGGGTAACTCGATTTTCACACTCATTAGTAACACAGAGAGCTTCTCAGGTGTTCCTGATTAGCAGCACACATCAGCATTTGGTGGAGGGGTCCTACACCATATAACAAATACAAGAATTGCCTCCTTTTGAAAGAGACCCCATCTTTCTCATCTAACAGTGTAAAAGGAGTGAGCAAGTGCATTCACATCACAGCATCCTTTTACCTACAGGCCACCCCGGCCTTGGATGGCTTTTCAGCAAGCATTTGGAAATCATTGAACAGGGAATGTTTCTCCAACCAACATTTATACAAGAGAGGACTTTTATTTTTCTGTCTTCTTATTGAAATATTGACTCCAGCGAAATTCCCTGTTTAACAATTTCTCAACATTTGGATCCTCTACTTGAGGACTGAAATGGTGCTGTGGACACAATACCACAGTAGAATAAGAAGGGACATTTGAAGAATGACATCTAGTTTAATGAATACATGAGATCTTAATTCTTCAAACAATACATTTACACAAGAAATACTCATCACCATCAGCACACGGCCAGCCAAGGGTTTCTGTATACTGATAGCTAGGCGAGCTTGTACGGGGTTCATGATTATGAAACAGCACAGCCAAGGGACAATGAACACATACACTGAAAAATACATAAATACAGGCGCCGGCACCTGTTTTCATGTATTCTTTATTGTTTGTGTTCATTGTGTCTTGGTTTTGCTGTTACGTAATCATGCTTCTATATACACAAGGAAATCATATGGTTGATAATCAAGCTCTTTTTTTTTTTTTTGAAAAGAAACTGATGGCCCATAGATGAGCCTAATCTGGGATATGTTTAAAGAGCCAAGACATTCTGTATTCAATAAACTTGTTGTTAGTCTGTGATTATCTTATCTTCTACCCTGGTGTCTTGTCATCAAAATAGTTTTAGTCCTAAAATATTGTCTTACAAACTAGACTCCCCCCCCCCCAAACCCACATTTCTTGACTTTATTTCCTTTATACTCCTGCATTTTCATTCTTACAACAAGCAAGGCACAGTAAGTTCCAATATTGTTTATCACTATACACAATCATGTCTTTGCTTGATAGATCACCTCTTAAAAAAGTGACGAATGCATGCTACCAATATTTACATCATTCTTGTGACAAGAAATGACTTTTTTCATCCAAAGGCTTGTGTAACAGGTCAACAAGCACCAGAAGACACAAGGTCTTCAATATGGTTAAGTCCACCGTCACTGGGTTCTTCCTGCTCACAAACCCAGCTTCTTCACTGCTGTTTCTCTCATTTTATTTTTCTGCGCTTTTCCTATGGCTGTTTTAGGATAATCCGTTTCATAAAGGAAATACTTGGGTATCTTGAAATGGCTAAGCTGCAAAAAAGAAAAAATGAGAGGAAAATTTACAAATTGTTATGAACTCATACTGCTGAGAGTGGTGTGACAAGCAACCCCTGCTGTGGTAAGGCATTTTAACCAAAAATGTGATTGTATGGTCCGTTGGGTTAAATGTGTGAGCACAAAAGGCGTGTTTGTACCAATGAAGCTATCCAGGTACATGTTAATGTAAAGGATGGGGCATACCAAACCTTAAAAATCCTTCAATAGCACTAGAAACCGTTATGTACCTGACACTGTAAAGCCAACTATAACTAAAGGACGATAAACAAGTTTTTTTTTTTTTCTGTGAGAATGTGACACAGCTATCACATGTTGTCTCATTAAAGCAGAAGGAGTGGACCCAGATTTCAGGATACGCTTATGTATGGTACTCAATTGAAAATGTTCTGGCGCGCAGAAACAGCGGTGACCATGCTGTTATCATATGCAGTGAGGATGACCTTGCCAGTCTTGTGGCCTTGAAAAGATAGCATGAGAAGGGATGACAAAAGAGGCATGGGGTTCAATAAACTGAGATGGCAACCATACAGTCACCGTATTTTCTTGCATATAACCTGCACCCATAACTTTGAGCTTCCCGAAAAAAGAAAAAAAAGGCGTCGCGTGTAACCCACGTGCTTAGCTTAAAACAGAAACTGTTTTTGGAAGTCACAACTGCACAGTCAGAATCTCATATAAAAGAACTTTATTTCGAAGCCATTGCCACAATGTTGATGACACCGATTCCCATTCCTTCAACCATCGCCTGACTCGTCGTTGTCACTGCTGCCATCCGATGTTTCGTTGCCGCTCCTGAAAACGCAATCGTCTTCAGTGCCATTCAAGTGATTGCTGACGGTGCATTTTTCGAAGCTCTTGCGCACCACGTCAGCCAGAACCGCCCGTGGTTTGGCCATGAATCGCAGGAGCCGTCCACAGCTCGCATGAAACTTGCGCGAGATGTTCATCTCGCCGGCCAACTTCAGCACTTCCATTTGAGCCATCTCCGTTGACACAGCGTGGCTGCAACTCCTCCGTTCCTCAATAAATTCGACAAGTTTCGTCTCAAAAAAGGGGCACACACCAGTCTTCGGGCCGCAAAATACTTGCTTCTCCTTGCGGGCACTTTTGAGAGAGGCATTTTTTTTTTCGCAAGTTTTTCTACGGAACATACCAGAGCAGAGGTCTTGATGTGTATTCTTAGTGATCACTTACCAATACATTGTGTATTGCCTCCTACAGTGTCTTGTCAAAAAACACTCGAAAACTACAAGAGCGTATATTCTGAACAAAATGCTGTAAAATTCTTATGATTAATCTCTTGCTATTGGTGGAATGAAGTTACTGCAAATACCGATGCAAACACAGCTCATGAGACTTTTATATGCACCTTTGCACTCTTATACGATAGATGTTTCGCCCTTGTGAAGCTCAAAAAACACAAGAAAGCAAGAAAGCCTTGGATATCAAATGAGCTCATAAACAAAATTAAATCATGCAACGTGCTCTTTCAAACTTTTCTAACAAGTAGAAGATAAGATGATTTACGGGTGTTCAAATCTGAATGAAATAAAGTAAGTTCTGATGTTAAACATGCTAAACAAGAATAATATATGATTAAGTTCACTGCTGTATCACAAAGTTCAAATCTTATGTGGAAAGCGATCAATGATTAGGTAATGAACAGACTTCCTGAAACTAAGTTACACTCCAACAAACCCAGCTGTCAGACGTTCAGATTGCAAATGCATTCAATGCCCATTTTACAGATGTTGATTCATCATCACAAAACAGTGTATCGGTGTCTCCATCCGAATATATATCAAATCAGTGTTGCTCTACTCTGTTCTTGATAGCCAGTGACGAGCGAGAGGTCCAGGGCACAATCTCATCATTAAAAGACGGTTGTGTGGCTGGTGCTGATGATATAAAGGTTAAGCCACTGAAAGCCCTTAGCAAATATGTAAGCACACCTTTCTGTATTCTAATTCTTTCAAAAGGCATCTTCCCAGATAAAATGAAGCTGGCCCAAGTGACCATTACTCATAAAGGTGGTCCAGTTAACTATATGAATAACTACCGGCCAATCTTCGTACTCTCAGTTTTCGCAAAAATTGCCAAATATGTTATAAACTAGATATTGGGTGGCTTTTCAGACACAAAAAAATAATTGCACAAGAGAAATATGGTTTTTATAAAAATAAATATTCATAAACAGCTTTACTTGAAATAAAAGAACAAATTCTTGACAATATTGAAAACCGAATTGCAAGCCTTGGTACTTTTTTTATTTTGGAAAAGCCTTCAATTGCATGCAACACAACTGTCACGTGTAAATATCGCAAAAACATCGACGCGGACCACCGAGCACTGAGGGACAAAGAAGAAGAGAGCGGTGGCATGGGTGGCACGAGGCGCGCTCACAGTGTTCGGGCCAAGGCGTGCAATTCCGAGCTCAGACGAGCGAAACGTTTTGCCGGGCGAGACCCGGGCGTGTGCACGGAGGACCACGGAGCCGGGCAAGGTCCAGGGTGGCTGAGGATCCAGGTGCCAGGGGAGTTGCTGGCTGAATCGAGGATCGCCGAGCGGTGCCGAGCCGTACCGAGCGACGCGCCAGACTCGGACGTGGGCCGGGAGCTGTGCACCCGAGGGTACCTGGCTGTGCCCTGGCCAAGGCGAGGAACGCCGGTGACTGAGCTGCCGCACCACAGCTGTGGCGAGCAGCATTTCAGCACGGCACAGACGGTGCTGTGCTGGCCCGAACCCGCACATGGAACCGCTACGCCCGGGCCGTGATCAAGAGCTCGGAAACAAGGTCCGAGGTCGCGCTGGTTCAGGCATCTCCTAGACGACGCCACCACTACTCGAGAGTCGCGAGTCTACGGGACTCTTCTTCCTCATGTGCCGTGGTGGTCGTCCCGACGGGGTCCACATCACTGACTTTTCCTATCCCTTCTTTTGTATATAAACGTTTGAACACGTCTCCCTGTCTGTTTCCTGCGCCGCTGCATAGTAGTGTAAGTGCTCGAAGCGTCCTAAACATCACAATTTTCTGGCGTTCGCGACGTAGGACCAAGCTCTAGCTCCAACTTTCAGAGCCGCACTTCTCGTTTGTGCAGTGGGCGGAAATGGATTGGGAGAAGTGTATTCCGATTGGCAAGGAACTTGGCTTGTCGGGTAACGAACCGAAGGAGTGGATTGAAGAGCAGCAGAAAAAAGAGCGTGACAGACGAGCTGAAGATAGGGACGCATCGCGAATAGCGCACGAACAGGAGATTGCTCGTCTGGCGGCAGAACGAAGTCTGCTGGAGGCTAAGTGTCGTCTTGCTGAGCGCACGGCTGGGACGGTTGTAACCGGTGGAGAGAGCGTGGAAGCCAGCAGCGAAGCGTTCAGGAGCACCCACAAGCTTATTCTTCCCTACAATGAGGGCCGCGACGAACTCGACGCGTACATTCAGCGCTTCGAGCGGGTAGCCATGAGTCAGGCATGGCCAGGCGACAGGTGGGCGCTCTCATTAAGCTTATGCCTCTCAGGTGAAGCCTTGAGTATTGTAGGACGTATGGCTGCGGAAGATGCTACAGACTACGAAAAGCTGAAGCAAACCTTGTTGCGAAGATTTCGGTACACCAAAGAGGGATATCGGCAAAAGTTTCGCGAAGTTAAGCCGGAGAATTCCGAGACGGGGCGACAATTTGCTGGTCGGCTGCTCGGCTACTTCGATCATTGGCAGCAGATGGCGAAAACAGAAAAAACGTATGACGCATTGAGAGATAGCATTATGTCAGAACAGTTTTTGCTAAGATGCGATGAGAAACTCGCCATCTTCTTGAAAGAGTGAGGATGCCGAACGCTCGATCAGCTAACCGAAACGGCTGACCATTATCTGGAGGCGCAAGGCCTGACAAATATCGCGAAAAGGAAACAGGAAAGACCAAGCGAAAAAGCAGAAGTGGCGAGCAAGAGCCGCTATAAAGAGGCCGGAAAAGCAAAAGTGCAATGCTTTTTATGTGGCAAGCAAGGTCATCGCGCTGCAGACCATTGGCGCGGTCAAAAGGCCCGAAGCCCTCGTCTTGCTGGAAGTGCAGGAAACACGGCCATCAAGCGGACGAGTGCCCAAATGTAAAGAGCCGCAACAAGAAGGCGTCAAGTGCTGTTGCCGACTATCACCGTGCACCTTTTGCTCGAAACAAGGAGAACTTGGATTGTACCCCTTCATCAGCAGAGGAATATGCACCATCGGAAAAAAGAGATATTTGTCTTGGTCTGCTAAGCCAAGAGATGCCAACGGCAACCGGATATCTCGAGGGACAGCCTGTACGGTGCTAAGGGACTCGGAATGCAAAACCGTGGTGGTCAAGTGTTCGCTGGTACCGGAAAAGAATTTCACCGGTATTACATGTACTATGCACCTTCTCGACGGTTCTCGAGGCAGCTTCCCGAGGCAAAGGTATATATCGGCTCTCTGTTCTTCCGAGGACCAACACTGGCACTCTGCATGGAAAAGCCACTCTATGACGTCGTTCTCAGCAACATCGACGGGGTAATCTTCCTTTCTGGTTCTACCACGGCACATCACCTGTCGGATGTCGCAATACTGCATAAGGAGTTGGCACCAGCAGGGGAGCCTTCTCCATATCCAAGCGTGTCACCGGACCTACCGACTTTGAGTGCAGCGACAACAAGAAGGACCAGGGAGATGAAGTTACCTGCGGCGGCATCTAACGAACTAGTTGTGACCCCACAAGTTCTTGAAAAGTTGCAGAGAGAAGATCGCACCTTGGAGAACTGTTTTTCGGCAATCGGGAAGACGATAGCGAAGCGATCAGCAAACATAGAGTATGTTTTGCTTAAGGGAATCCTTCATCGACACTTTTGATCGCTAACGAGGAAGGAAGTCGACCAACTGGTTGTTCCGCAAAGCCTCCGCCAGTTTGTCCTTAGGATGGCGCATGAGGGAGTTATGGCAGGTCACCAAGGTATTAAACGAACAACT